CCCCTGGGGGCTGCCAGTCGATATTGTTTGGCCGACGGCACCCTGAGAAGACCCTCCCTATGGGAGCATACTGGTCGGTGAGCGGCTACTGGTGGCAGAAGGTGGTCTCGTAGATACCCCAGTCCTAAGCCATTGGAGCGCTCTAAAGGTGGTAACCAAAACCTTGAAGCGCACCCGGAAGACCACCGGGAGCCAGTGCAGCTGCGCAGGAGGAGAGTCACATGGGAGCGCCACATCGCTCCTGTAACCACCTGCGCGGCCGCATTCTGGACCAGTTGGAGCCTCCTGGTGCTCCTCAAGGGGAGCCCCATGTAGAGAACATTCTCCTTAAGGGTTGGACTAGAAGACCTCCAAGGTCCCTTCCAACTCTGTTATTCTATATTCTAACACGATAAGGAGCACGCATCCATCATGTGGTTGCCATCTAAATGTACAAGAAAAGTGAAGGAGCGGGGGGAATAGAAAGGGAGAATATTGCAGCTGTAGACTAAGTTTTTTTCCCTTGTTCATAAACATATGGACTATTGGAGCTCAAGTAGTTGCTACAATGCTAAACCTGTTAATCTAGTTTTCTCCTGATTTAACATCTAATTTTAGACAGCCAGTTCCACATTGATAAGTCCACATTTTTTACTTGATGCTGTGGAGGAATCTTGCTCCCCGGTGTGTGATTGTCAACCAGTGTGGGGCCCACAAGTAGAACTTCAGGATAGAGGCCCAGATCTTACTTGACAGAAAGAGCAGAAGGCCCTCAAATTTAGCAAAGCTGACATTCCACATTTTGCAGCATGGGAGCCACACATGCGAACAATTCAAAACGTAGCAGGAGTTCAAAATCACCTAACTGCAAGATTAGGCCCCATTAATCCTTGTCTGCCTAAAGGCTGAGCTTGAAAAATCTTTTTACTGGGACTTCTGGTTGGCTCCGCGGGGATACAGATGGGGAAATGGTGAGCTCCGCGGAGCTCTGCCAAAACCCCGTCTGCCAAGCTGCTGCCGACAGGTCTTCGGACCTCCCGTCTTGAAGGGGGGGGACAAGAAGGGACCCCTTGGGCGGCCAAGAGGAATGGGCAGGTTCCTCGGGGCCGGAGGCTTTCCCTTCACACCGGTGGCAGTGGAACGACAGCCATGGTGGCTGTCCCGAAACCACGGCAACCGGGAACAAAGATCATGCTGGAGGAGAGGAGGAGAAGCGAGAAGCGGAGAGCAGAGCAGGGAGTTTGAAAGCCGGGTGAGTTGATTTCTGCCCAGGCGAGAACTGCCCGTAAATGCTGAATTACAAAAAGTGTGCCCCAGCCTTAACAGCGGCTGAGAAACATCGGGCCAAAAAGACTCAAATGAATGGTGGAGAAAAGACCTGTTGATAGACAGCATTAATTATAGACTTTTTGGAAATGACTTCATTACAGATTTGGTTTTCTTTTTTTATTTTTCTGGCTATTTCTTGTGGCTAAACGAGATTGAATTATGTTTGAAAGAGAGGAAGGAGAAGAGGAAATAAATATGCTTTTAAAAGTAAAGATAAAAGACAAACAGAGATGGAAAAGATGGCTGCCAGCTGAAAAAGGAAAATGTAAATTCCAGACTGCTTGTTACTTGAAAGAGAAACTTTGTTGCTTGTTACTTAAAGTGGATTATTTTGAGAAAAATTTCAAGAGGCTTGACTTTGGACATATAATCTGTGTATTGGAGGATATTGAAGACCAGAAAGAAGAAATTAAATGGAATAACAAAAACTGACTTATTAAGCATGGCAACAAGAGAAAAAGAGCATGGCAAAAAAAGAAGAACATGATGATACCATATATGGAATAGTCAATTCAGAATTAACTTTATAGAACTTATAACTTTGAGGACATTGAAATGGAAAATAAAGATACTCAGATAGATTGGAGAAGGGAAAAAAATGGAATATAAAGTAACAAGATAACAAAATACCATAGTTTGAATTAAATGGATGTAATGGTGTCTGGGAGTTTGATCTTTGAATAATTTTAGGAGATAATTTCCTTCTTCTCTGGGCTCTCTCTTAATTCTATTTTATTTATTTTTTTCTTTCTTTCCTTTTTTTTTTCTTTCCCTTGTCCCTTTCCCCCTCTCAATTTTTTCTAATTCTCTTTTCAATTTCTTTTGTTATATTTCTATTCTCCTTCCTATTTGTATTCTTGTTTTTTTCTTTTGTTTTTATATTAACTATTATTAATATTGTTACTATTCTCTCTCTTTTTTCACTATTATTTTTATTTAAGTTGATTTTATGAATATATAACAATTTGATTTGGAAAAAATGAGTATAAATGATTGAAAATTATGATTTTTGGATGTTTTAATGCCTTTTTAAATTTGGAATTTTTAAGCTCTATTTATAGACCTAATAATTTAGAAGAAAATGTTCTCTAAGGTGCTGGATATTAAGAAGAATTAATTACAGATTTAATAATTATAGAAAATTGATTTTAAAGTGATTTAAAATGTTGATATTCACTGGAAATAAATATGGCATGGGAGAAAGCCTAGGAAAGAATAGGAGCTAAGATATTTGTTGATATACTTTTTTATTTTTAATCAGTTAAAAACATGGAGGAGAATGGATTTAAAAATGAATATGAGCAATATATTGTGAATTAATTTAAGGTTAAATAACTGAATAAGAGATGTAGAAATGGAGGAAAACATAAAGCTGGACAATAATTAAAATAAAATGTTATGAATTAGCTAATTAAATGAAGTTAGGAGTGGAGGGAAGCATGATTCTGGAGAACAGTGAAAGTAAAGCTGTGATCTAGTCTTACAAATAAGGTAGGAGTGGAGGAAAGCATCATACTGGAGAACAGTTAAGGCAAAACTGGGAACCTGTTAAAAATAAAAATAAGAGTTAGGAGTGGAGGAAAGCACAGGCTGGAAAATAGCTAAAGTAAAGCTGTGAACCAGCCATTAGAGTTAGGAGTGGAAGGAAGCATACACTAGGTAACAGTTAAAGCAAAACTGTGAACTAGCCAAAAAATAAAAAGTTAGGAGTGGAGGAAAATATATCTGGAGAGCAACTGAAATACAGTTGTGAGCCAGTTAAAAATAGAGATTGGAGTGGAGGAAAGCATTGCTGGGAAGCAACTATTTGAGTTGTGAACCAGTTCCATAATAGGTTTAGGAGGATTGAAGGAGATAACATTGGTATGCAGTTAAATTATACTGTGAACCAGCTCAAATAAGTAAGGTTAGGAGTGGAGGAAAGCATCACTGGAAAGCAACTGATTAAGTTGCGAACCAGCCAAAAAATAAATTCAGGAGGAAGTGGAGGAGACAATACTGGAGAATAGTTAAGCCAAACTGTGAACCAGTTAAATAAATAGAGATAGAAGTGGCGGAAAACACTATTGGGAAATAGCTATTTAAATTATGAATCAGTTAAATATTAGACTTTAAAATAAAGTATTTTGGGAGTGACAAATTTTAGATGGAAATGTTGATTGATTTAGAAACAATTAAGAGAGGAGGAAAATATTCTTTGTTAAAATTATGGATATTAGTTGTCATTTAAAAGAGGTACAAACTCAATGTAATGGGTCTTAGAAATGAGGAATATATATGAAATATTGATTGTTAAAATGACAAAGATTTGGAATGATGTCTATTTGGAAATAATTGTTTAGAATTTAGGAGAATGTTTAAAATCTAAATGTTTAGAATAAGATTTCTTTTTCTTTTCTTTTTCTTTCTTTTTTTTTTTTAAAGAGGTAAATGGATAAAATTTGGAACAAAATTGGTGGAGGGAATGTGAGTAATTGTATTTACTTTATACCAGATCAAATCCTTGCTCTAAAAAGATGTATTTTATGATTCATGTTTTTTAAAAAAAGAAAATAAAAAAAAAAGAAAAATCTTTTTACTACTGCTTTCCATTCACTTGTTGGGAATTTATTTCCATTTCATTTTAAACTTTCTCACTAAAAAATAAATCCCATTTCAGTGGAAATGCACTTATTTTTGCATTAATCTTTACGATATCTATGAATCAAATATTTCTTATGGTCATGGACCAGCATAAGAAGGATGAAATACAAACAATTAGTAATTTAAAAACATTTTTAAAAGCACACACACACACACTCCCCCCCTTTTTTTAACAACCCTGTAATGTCAATTCCCAATAAAAAATTACTTTAAGGAAACTCCAGGCCTCAGAGTTTTGATTTTGTTGGGTCTGTTACTTGGAACCCTGACATGTAGTCCCTTAATTTGGGGTAGAGTTAGGGTGACTAAATGTTGCTAAGCATTTACTGGCTGATTGCCCTTCCTGACACCTACCAAGAGTTGACAGCAAATATATTTTCTTTGCGCCCTGATACAGAAACATCTGTCACTGCCTAGGATTGAATTCTCAGCCTTCCAAGTGGGAGGCAAATGTCTTCCCCACTAGGCCGCCACATCGCTCATATACACAGTAAAAAGTTTTTTTTTTTAAACCTATAAAAAGGATAAAATCTAAATATTAATTGTTTGTATGCCACCCTTCTTATGCTGGCTATAACTGTAATAAAAATTGGATTGACTATACAATGTCAGTTATTTATTTTATATTCCACATTTAATATTTGTCTTTTTAAAAAATATTTATTGTCATAATGGGGCATATCCATCATGATGGAAAAGATGGGAGAATGCAGAGGTGGGTTTCAGCAGGTTCTGACCAGTTCTGGAGAACCGGTAGCAGAAATTTTGAGTAGTTCTGGAAAACCGGTAGTAAAAATTCTGACTGGCCCTGCCCCCATCTATTCTCTGCCTCCCGAGTCCCAGCTGATCGGGAGGAAATGGGAATATTGCAGTAACCTTCCCCTAGAGTGGGGAGGGAATGGAGATTTTACAGTATCCTTCCCCTGCCACGCCCACCAAGCCATGCCACACCCACCAAGCCACACCCACAGAACCAGTAGTAAAAAATTTTGAAGCCCACCACTGGGCGAATGGATAGTTGACCATAGTTACCAATCTGCACACTGTACAACTTCCAGATAAATCTCCAAAGTGGTTTAGAAGTCCCCAAGCTTCATTTTGAGACAGCTGCTTTAGATGAAGGCATAAAACTGTCTGATTTAGGAAACTTGTGTTACTGAAATCAGGTTGCTTGTACTTTGTTTATTAGATTTGTTGAACTTGATCCCCCCCCCCCCCCAGCATTGATTATCTGGGCATCATTTATGTCATTTTATCTATTTTGGAGAAATCAGCTGGATCTGGGATCGGCAGATGAAAAGACAAGGGGAAAAAAAAACCCCAGAATGAAGTAGTAATCTAGTTTTAAAAAATTTCTTTGGGAAGCAAAATGTGAAATGGAACCATTAACAAAATTAGCAATTGCCCTCATCCTTGGATTATCCTTAGTAATGAGAAAGAGGAGAGGAAAATGCCCTTTTAAGATTGGCTGCCAAGAACAACCCAGATGACAGACTGGAAAAAAAAAATCAAACCAAATTAACATGCCATCGCTTGTGGCTGAACCGCTGCTATACATCGCTGGCATTTTGCTGTTGTAGTGATTCCATTGGTGTTTTGCATTACATGGCAAAATCATTGGTTTCCTCAGAAAAGAATGGGGTAATGTGCCAGATGGTGCATCTGGAGAGAAGAACAAGCAGCCTCAAATGATCAAAAATGAGGATTCTGATGCATGCTGGCTGGCTTTCCAAAAGATGACACCCTTCACCGCCTTTCTGTTGGAAAGAAAAGGTCATTCTAAATTCAGTTGTTAAGGCAGGCAAAATCTTACACTTTAAAGATGTGCTGTGTCTTCTTTATTGGGTTTAATGATACTAAACTCCAGATCTGGAGTTTGACCCTGGATAAAGCATACAGATCTGACCTGTCTACCAGAGGTGAAATGCTCCCGGTTCGGACCGGATCGCCCGATCCGGTAGCGATGGAGGCGGGTGGTTTGGAGAACCGGTAGCAAAAATCCATGCCCCCCCACCCATGCCCAGCTGAGCCACACAATCATCAGAGGCTTTTTTTTTAACTTTTAAAAGCATTTTTTCTACAACCTCTTCAGCCGAAAAAATGCTTTTAAAAGTAAAAAAAAAAAAAAAGCCCCTGATGATCGCACGGCTCAGCTGGGATCATCAAAGGCTTTTAAAAGAAAAAAAACCCTTTTTTTCTTTTAAATGCCTCTGACGATCCAAGCTGAGTTGCCTGATCGTCAGAGGCATTTAAAAGAAAAAAAGTCTCTGCTGATCCGGCAACTCAGCTGGGATCGTCAGAGCCTTTTGAAAGCATTTTTTTTACAACCTCTTCGCCGAAGAACTTTAAAATGGTTTTAAAAGTTAAAAAAAAAATTGGCCATGCCCACCCAGTCACATTACCCCCCCCACCAAGCCACGCCCACAGAACCGGTAGTAGATTTCACCACTGCTGTCTACTAAGACCTAGATCAGGGGTGTCAAACTCAAGGCCTGTGGGTTGGATCTGGCCCACAGGGCCGCCCTGGAAACAGCAAGGGACCAGCCCGCAGAGCCTCCATTTTCACTGGCAGAAAAGGTTGCAGGAGGCCGTAATGGCTGAAAACGGAGCTCGGGAGCCTGTTTTCACTGGCAGAGCACTTGGGCCCCCACAGGCACCCCTGACACGAGTGATGTTAAGCTGGCCACACCCACCCTAGCCACGCCCACCATTGAGCTGAAGGTTCAAACTAGGCATTCTGCTGGTCAATCCCTCCTTGATGTAGTCACCTTCTCTTCCAGCGTAGGGTGACTTCTATCTCCATCCTCTCAGAATTGGTTCAGGTAGAGGTTCATGGCTCCCTGGCAACCAGCGTTCTCTCCCAACACCTACAGTAGGCAAAGTTAAACCATGTGTTTGTCTCAGAACAAATGGGTTGCGATCTAGTTATGGAGGGCACTAGCTCTTTCCCAAGGGCGGATCATTTTCGGGTTCAGCCAGAGCCTGGTTGCCGGTGATCCAGAAGAATGCCATGGTGAATGGAGTGAAGACTGCTGAGTTGCCAAGGAACCAGGCACTGTTTTATGGTAGTCCTGTTGCTTCCCCAGTGGGCAGTTCCAAGAAATGGTTGTAGGAGAGATCAGACAGGTGGTCTCATTTGTGGATGGCTTCAGGGTTCTCTCCCTCATTGGCAGAAGCTGGGACAAGTAACGGGAGCTTACTCTGTTACGTGGCACTAGGGATTCGAACCGCTGAACTGCCGACCTTTCGATCGACAAGCTCAGCATCTTAGCCACTGAGCCACCACATCCCTTCTAACCCTAACCCACTGAGCCACTCTACCACTAGTTGGCAAATAAAGGCTATGGTGATGTGAACCAACTGTAGCCTTACCAGAAATGAAATGATCTCATTACAATGACTTATCACAATTCATTTTGACTACTGCAATGTATTCTCCATAGGACTTCCCTTAAAAAAAAACCAGATAGGAATTTTCAGCTAAGTCCAGAAAGCAGCAGGCCATCTGTTGGCTGGTCCATACCAACATCTGCTTGCTTAGTACATACCAACATGAGTGTGTTATACCTATGCTCCAGGCACTCTACTGCCTGCCTATTGGCTTCCAAATGTGCCTCAAAGGCCCTTTTGACTTCTGAACACCTACCTTAGTAGGTATCTTCAGATCCATTTCTTCCAACCAGTCTCACCTTGTTGAATGTGGATGAATGTGGATGATCCAGGGGAATTTTGTAGAATAGAATAGAATAGAATAGAATAGAATAGAATAGAATAGAATAATAGAATGGAATGGAATGGAATGGAATGGAATGGAATGGAAGGGAAGGGAAGGGAAGGGAAGGGAAGGGAAGGGAAGGGAAGGGAAGGGAATGGGAATGGGAATGGGAATGGGAATGGGAATGGGAATGGGGAATGGGGTGGAATGGGGAATGGGGAATGGGGAATGGGGAAGGAAGGGAAGGGAAGGGAAGGGAAGGGAAGGGATGGAATGGAATGGAATGGAATGGAATGGAATAGAATAGAATAGAATAGAATAGAATAGAATAGAATAGAATAGAATAGAATAGAATAGAATAGAATAGAATAGAATAGAATAGAATAGAATAGAATTCTTTATTGGCCAAGTGTGATTGGACACACAAGGAATTTGCCCTTGGTGCATATGCTCTCAGTGTACCTAAGGAGAACAAAATACATTCACCAAGAATAAAAAGATACAACACTTAGTGATAGTCAAGTTTAGTAATAAGCTATCAAATCATACTAGGAAACAAATAAAAACAATATAAATTGAAAGATACAACCAACATGGTTATAGTAATAAGTGGGAAGAGATAGATACTAGTAAGGAAGAGAATAATAATAATAGTAATACAGTCTTAGTAAATGATTTGACACTGTTGAGGGAATTATTTGTTTAGCAGAGTGATGGCGTTTGGGGAAAAACTGTCCTTGTGTCTAGTTGTTCTGGTGTGCAGTGCTCTATAGCATCGTTTTGAGGGTAGGAGTTGAAACAGTTTATGTCCAGGATGTGAGGGGTCTATAAATATTTTCACAGCCCTCTTTTTGACTCGTGCAGTATACAGGTCCTCAATGGAAGGCAGGTAGTACATAGTGGTTCCCCATTTTCACAAGCTAAAGAGAATGGAAACAGGCAGATGCTACTTCTCCATGGCTGGGCTTGTTTGTGGAATTGCCTTTACAATCTTCCCAATGTATTATCCATTCACAAATGGTTCAAAGCAGTGTTATGTAAAAAGCAGACGAACAGTGATTGTTGCCAGCTACTCACGTATTGTTGTTTTTCATGCATTTTGTTACGGGGTTTTTTTTTCTTTCAACATTTACCTTTATTTTAGTAGTATTATATTGTAGATGTTTTAATGGATCCGATAATATTGTAAGCTGCCAAGTGTCACAGGATTACAGGGGTGGGGTGACAAATTTCAAAAATAAAAAGACATACTCACTCTCTCTCTTGGGAACAGAAGCCAAGAAGGTGTTACACTAAGAGGCAGAAGCCACAGCGCATGTAGCCAAGTTTACGCCTTTTAATGAAATGTGTTAGGTTTGAAAAGACGATACCAAATTCCTCCTGGTTTTTGGCTATCATAGACTAACAAGGATCTCCTACAACAGTTACAAAAGGAAAAATGGAATCCATTTTTTTTTTCTTGCCGTCCTTGGTGCTCTCTAAGCTGGGTCCTTTGCCTGCAGATCAGGGGTGAAATGCTACTGGTTCAGACCGGTTCGATTGAACCGGTAGCAATGTCAGCAGGTGGTTCGGAGAACCAGTAGCGACGGCAGCACGAGGCTCCGCCCACCCACCCGGTCGTTACTTCCTGGTTTTAACCAGGAAATAACCTGTTTTTTGCCCTCTGCGCATGCACAGAAGGGTTTGGGCATGCGCAAAGGGTCCGCACACGCATGTGATGTGCATGCACACGCAAGCGAAGTGAGCATCCGCGCACGGCTCCAGTAGGGAAGATAAGTAGATTTCACCCCTGCTGCAGATGTTTCATTACCCAACTAGAATAAAAAACATCTGCAAGCAAACAGCCTCCTTCAGAGAGCGCTAAAGATCACACCATTCAGTTGTGAGCGAGAATCTCTTTTATTGGTATCCATGTTCTTGACGCATTAAACCCAAATGTCTGTGTAGGAAAGAATCGACACAAGGTTCCTGTCTTCTCTGATTCTCCCTGGCTATGTCTTTCTGTTCAAGAATGTGGCTTTGGAAGGAAGGCTCCAGGGAACACCTGTTGCAAAGGTTGAGATGCCACAGTCTATCAGGGAACTTAAAAGGGAACCATCACTTGCTTTCAACTGCGCAATGCAAAAACAGGTTGTGTTCTAGGACAGCGGTCACCAACTGGTGGCCTGTGAGAAAATTTTGGTGGTCCGCAGAAAAATTATTTGCATTTTTTATATTGCACTAAAGCAGGGGTCCTCAAACTACGGCCCCTGGGACGGATATTTGCAATGAACATTTGTGTTGCTGCACAGAGTCTCTCCCTTCGGGGTCTTTTTGTGTGTATTGGAGGGGGGCAGAAATTCTGACTTGGGGTCTGCTTCAGCCTCCTGGTGTGGGGCTTTGGGAAGGAAGCACCGCTGGTGGCGAAGAGCCGGAAGGCCTTGTTCCTGTGGGACTGCATTATGGTCTGGAACTGGCTGACCATCTCAGCCTGCTGAGCCTCCAGGCGCTGGTACCTGGCCTTGCACTCCCGCAGGTCTTCCCTCTGGTTGGAAAGCCTATGCTGGTAGTCCTCAGTGAGGTGCTTCTGCTGAGCCTCCTTCTCGGTCAGATCCAATTTGAACTGAGCTGTTTTGCCAACTCTTTCTCATGGTGGCTGCTTAGCTCCAACAACTGTTGGGGCCCTAAGGAGCCCGGGCAGGGAGGCGAGGAGTGGCTGGGAGGGGAGGGGCGAGTAGAGGACGGTGAGGCACTCCTCGACGTGAGTGACATCAAGTTGACCATGCCCACCCAGTCACATGACCACCTAACCACACCCACCCAGCCGGTTATTAGGCAGATCATATTAGTGGTCCGCAGGATTAAAAATTATGAATTTAGTGGTCCCTGAGGTCCGAAAGGTTGGTGACCCCTGTTCTAGGATATCAAGCATGAAAAACAACCAACATTGGGTTCCCGTTTTCTTCTGCCCTTAACACTATTTGTGATCCAGAATGGCATATTTAGAGAACCTAGTGCCTCCTTGTTTAACTGTCTGATGATTTAATTTAGTTTTTAAATCTTCAGTGTTAATAGCAGAAGTTAGACTGGACACTAAGCAAAGAAACTGTCTCGTTTCTTTTTAATTGTTAATCCTCAGTTTTGGTATCTCAAAGGAAATGATAGGTTCATTTTTTCTCCTTTTTTCCCCCCAAGCAAGGACTTTGAAGGTGTATTAATAATGATTTTATGCCATGTTTTTATCATATTAACAATTGACATTAGGTTAAGCTAGCTCATGGCTCATTTTGAGAGACATATACAGTATCATTTTTCATGCTGGATACGGAAATATTTCAATGTACGAACAGGTCAACTTAACCATTCTATTTATTTTAAGCCTATTTAAATATTTTTAAATGAACTGTGATAGTCCCCGTACTAGCATCCTTTCTGCTGAAATGGATCTTAGCATATCTGAATAACAATCCCTTATTCTGCAATGGAGAAACGGAAAACAGAGCAGCCGGCACAAGGGAAGGAGGAGAAGCAGGGAGAAGAATGAGGGAAAGCAGCCTTCTGCCGGTCACTCCGTTGTGCCGGTCACTCCGTTGCCGGTTTCTCTATTGCAGCGCAGTGCCCAGCATCCACTTTGATAGCATGTGTGTGTGTATGTAATTTAACAACCGGTTCGCTTGAACCAGTGTGAACCAGCTGAATCCCACCTCTGGTTCTTTAAATTTGTCTTGGGCTAAATTGATTTAATTCGATTTTACTTCTGCTCTTAAATTTTTGTATTCTATGCAGGGGTGGGTTCTAAATTTTTTTTACTACCGGTTCTGTGGGCGTGGCTTATTTTGTGGGTGTGGCTTGGAGGTCATGTGACTAGGTGGGCGTGGCTAGCTGGTCAGAGTCATTTCTGGAAGGTCCTCGCACTTACAACCAGTCCTCGCACTTACAACCCGACTCATTTGTTTGCTTTTAACACTGATCAGCTGTAGGACGGCCCTTTGAAGCCCCGCGGCAAGAGTTTAAACAGTTTTTTCCCCTCTAGTCATCAGCTGGGACTCAGGAGGCAGCAATAGATTGGGGGTGGGACCAAATAAAAGGTAAGAATAACGTGGGGGGTGGGGGGTGGGAGGGCGGGGGGGAGAACTGGTTCAGTGACGTCATATCGTTACCGCTACCGACTCGGCCGAACCGGACCGAACCGGGAGGAACCTACCACTGATTCTATGTGTTTTATCTTGTGCCTGTTCATCTCCCTGAGTCCTTCGGGAGTAGGGCGGTATATAAATCAAATAAAATGAAATGAAAAATGAAATTCTAGCCTTCAAAATCATGCCAATGTTCACTGCAGCAATAACGACCTCAGCCATTTTGTATCCAATCACCAACTTCACGAGGGCCACATAACCCCGGATTCTACTTCTTCCTTGGCCAGGTTACTGTATCTACACCTTGCATGCACACAGAAATATGTATATACATGCATGCCTGCAGGTTCTACTATTTCCTCTGCAGAACTTCAAAGCAGGAGGGAAATGAGCACAGATCATACATTAGTGGCTTGGAAAGCAGAGAGAAGTAAGGAGACAACGCGAAAGTGGCCAGCTCAATCTTCAAGCTGGTCTCCACAGCAGTTTTCACCTCCTTCTCCTCCACCAAACACACACACGCCCTTGAGAAACTCCTGTCCCCAGCATGACCCACACATTTCCAGCTGGCAAAGCTTTTTCCTGGCCTTCCCCACCATGTCAAGGAGGCAACTGCAGAGAGCACGTCGAAAAGGAAAATATCTGATCACCCTAACTTAGCTTCAACATAAACAAAGGCAAACTAAATAACACAAACATGTGGAGCAGAGGAGGAGGAGGAGGAGGAGGAGGAGAAAACGCAAACCACTTGAAAAGCCAGAAATGTTTCCAATAAAGGCCCTCACTGAAATTCAGGAACCCAAAACCCCCAACAGGGTAAATTTTCCCCCTAGCCTCCTCCCCATCTCCGATGCTTGTTCCCTCCACTCCCGACTCTGGGTTTCACCATCTTGTCCCTTACCCCAACTGTTGTGGTGTCGGTAGGAGTATCAAACAGTTTTGCTGTAACCAAAGGGAGCTTTCCGTCCAGCAGCAAAAGGAAGACTTTTGGCGTTCTCCAGAAGTCGCTCAAGGTTTTTGGGGACAAGCAGAGCTCTGGCCTTGAAGACAGGCTGAAGATGTTAAAGGGAGTAAGAAATAAGGTGGCTGGCTTTTACCCTGAGAGAAAGCTGTGAGGAGAAAGGTGATTAAGCACAGCTGGAATGGCTATTTCAGAACAGGAGGGAGGGGGGGAAGCAAGTCAAAAGCTCCCACATCATGGAGAAGAAGCCTGGCCTAGCCTCTCTTGGGCTTCTTATGCGCCGAGACTCTCTTTCCTGGCTCATTATAAACAGTTAGTCATGGCTTCCAACCTGTTTGTCTTGGAAACCTCTTCATTATTATTATTTTTTCTTAACTCCAAACGGAGGTTGCTGCTGGGATGAGACACTGGAGGGAAGGTTTCCTTCTTATTCTTGAGCAAACTGTCAAGGCTCCTCCCTGAGGTGCAAGGGAGTAAAGCTAAGAGTTCCAGGATGCAGACATGGGTGCATGTTGGATTGAGAGAGATGCTGGGCAGGGTTGCTTTACAATTTATGCCCTGCTTCAAGCGAAAAGTTTTCCTTTGGTTGGTGCTGCCTAGCTAGGTAGATGCATGGAACCGGGGACCTTGCCCCAAATACTTTATAGCGATTTCGGGGGCCAGGAGCATTAGTCAAGGAAGTCCAAAAGTCAAGAGGATTGTCGCTGTGCATCAAAGCCCTATCCCTTTTCTATTCATCTCGATAGATATAAAAATGGGCGGGGTTTTGATCATGTGAATGGAGTCACCATTTTGACTTCTTCCCCGTGAATGCTCCCAATAGGACTATACAGAAAACTTCCAGGGGTGGACTGCTGGGGGTTCGCAGAAGTTTGGGAGAACCTCTCTGTCAGGTTTCGAGGTCGTCTCAAATAAATTGCATTTCAAACAAAGTCTTTGAAAAAAACCTCCCATTTTATTAAGCACGACATTCTAACCTGACTCCATCGCAGCCAACACTGACTTCCAGACCCAAAACCCTCCCTTTCCGTTCCCCACTCCCCTGCACTCATTGGCCATCTTCCAAATCACTCTACCCCAATCTACTGCTCCAGCTCAAAGGAATTTCCCCACTCCCATCCCATCTCCTAGGGGATATTATCTCCAGGGAAAATAAGTAGGTGAAAAGTCAAACGTCCCTTTCCAGATGCCTCCGCTTCTCCTTCTTATGTCAGCACTAGAGTAAATGCAGCTTGAAGTGCTGACACTCTAGCTAAGATTCTGTGCAGTTCTGAGAACCCCCAAATCCCACTCCTGGATGGCCCCACCCACCCCATCCCTCCCAAGAGTCCCCACGCGGCCCGTTTTAGATGCTGGTAAGTGCAAGGTGCACACGGAGTCTCAGGGAGGGCACAAAACAGGCCTACCAGAAGTTTGGGAAGGCCGGAAATGGGCCCGTTTCCAGCCTCCAGAGGGCCTCCGGAGCCTGGGGAGGCAGTTTTCGCCCTCCTAGAGGCTCAAGGAAAGCCTCCAGAGCCCAGGGAGGATAAAAATGACCCCCCCCACACCATGGTGCAGGAGGCTGACTAGGCCATGCCCACCATGGCCATGCCCCCCAGCAACCAGGCAGAGAACCCCTTGATAAAATTTTTGAAGCCCACCCCTGAAAACTTCCCATACTGTGAGAGAGCCAGCCAAGGCAGGGATGCCTCCTAGTGTTTGCCCACTGATCAAAATCCACAGATTTTTAGAGAAGTGGCCAGATTTGCCCACAATTCCCAGTAGAACGGAGAGCCATGGAGAATGGCCTCTGGAAGGGAATATTTAGAAGCTATTACAGAAAGAGCTATAGTAGAAACACTCCTTGAGTGAGAGTGCCATGATGGTGTGGTGGTTAGAATGCAGTACTGCAGGCTAATGCACTGCTCATTCCAGGAGTTTGATTCTCACTGGCTCAAGGTTGACTCAACCTTCCAGCCTTCTGAGGTGGGTAAAATGAGGGCCCAGACCAGGGCAATATGCTGACTCTGTAAACTGCTTAGAGAGGGCTGTAAAGCCATGTAAAGTGGTATATATGTCTAAGTGCTAGTACTATTGAACCCTGGGAGAGGAGAGGGCGTTAAGAAGCAGCTTAAGCACCTTCCTCCTGATTCAAGGAAGTATAAAAGGAGGGGGGGACAGTTAAAACATAAGCGGACTTGCAACACTCTGTTCCTACAGTCCAGCTCAATAGAGTCTACACATCCTGGGGAGGCCAGTTTCATAATCTAATCTACTTATAGTTTTTAGTTCAGTTTTATTAAATTTTTATACCGCCCTTCTCCCGAAAGACTCAGGGCGGTGTACAGACAAGATAAAAATCAACAGTATAAAAGTTAAAAACAATTTAAAATTATTAAATAGTTTGGCCAATGATCTAAAATAAAATAACCCATTAAAAATAATATTTTAGGCCAGCCCTGCTTGATAGAATAATAGTGTTTTAAGGGCACGGCGAAAGGTACGAAGGTCGGGAATCCAATGAATCTCTGGGGGCAGTTCATTCCAGAGGGCAGGTGCCCCCACAGAGAAGGGTCTCCCCCTGGGGGTCGCCAGTCGACACTGTCTATCTGACGGCACCCTGAGGAGTCCCTCTCTGTGGCAACGTACTGGTCGATGGGAGGCTATCGGAGGCAGAAGGCGGTCTCGTAAGTAACCAGGTCCTATGCCATGGAGAGCTGACATAATGCTGACAATAAAGACATCAATGTCTACTTAAAGCACTTTAAAATAGAATAACTGTGACAAATTGTTTGGGATTTTCTCTCTCCCTTTTATTTAATCATGTCCAATTCTCAGAGAATGCCTGGACAAGTCCCTGCTGTTTTCTTGGCAAGGTTTTTCAAAAGTGGGTTTGTTATTGCCTCCTCCTTAGGGCTGAGAGAATGTGACTGGCCCAAGATCACCCAGCTAATTTTCTGCCCAAGGTGGGGGGGGGAGATTAGAATTTGTGGCCTCCTGATTTCTAGTCTGGGGTCTTAACCACTTCACCAAACTGCCTGTCTGGGGTAAATTTAACAGACTGTCAAACAAGATGAACCCAGGAGATCCCCGTCAGATCCGGAAACCCATCCCCATCAATGGCTGCCTTTGCCTTCCTATCTCTTGGATAGAAATGAGAAAGAAACAGTAGTAAACTATAGTAAACTATAGTAAAGAAGAATCACAGCCTGAACTTCAGATTTTACCCAGGTGCCCTAAACAATTAAAAAGTAAAGCTCACGAGGATATACCCTGTTTCCCTGAAAATAAGACTCAACCAGGAAAGTACTAGCATGATTTTTCAGGATGCTCGTAATATAAGCCCTACCCCCAAAATAAGCCCCAATTAAGATTGTCAGCCAGATGGATGCATTTAGTACCGTGTTCCCCCCAAAATAAGACCTAACCAGAAAATAAGCCCTAATGTGTCTTTTGGAGCAAAAATTAATGTAAGACCTGGTCTTATTTTCAGGGAAACACGGTAATCTAAGGCTGACGTTGCTGTTTTGTTGTGCTTTCATTTTAATTGAGGGTTGTGAGTCCTTCAACAAATGCAACAACTACTGTTCCAATAGCCACAAAGATGCGTAAAATGCAAAAACCTTCACAACACCGTTCAATTTTAACATGAATGAAAAAAAATGTAAGATTTCTGTCGTAACGCAGAAATCTATTTCACCAGGCGGGCCTCTTCTAACTTTCTTCCTCTTTTTAAACAATTTTAATAATTTTAATATTTTTTAATATTTTTAATACTCAAAGTTTAAATTTGTTTTAAATTGATTGGGGTTTTAATCTGTCTGGGCCAAACTATTTAATTCGATTTTATTTCTGCTTTTTAAATTTTGTATATATGTATTTTATTGTTGGCTGTTCACCACCCTGAGTCCTTCGGGAGTAGGGCAGTATATAAATCAAATAAAAGTAAAGTAAAGTAAAGTAACGCGTATTGTGTTTTGCAATGCTTTGGGGGGGTCATAAAATGGCTCTAAAGTTAATTAAGGCTCCCCTTGGTGTGCACCCGGAGGCTCCAACTGGTGCAGGATGCGGCCGAGCGGGGGATTATGGGAGCGACTGGGTGCTCCCATGTGACTCCTCTCCTGCGTGAGCTGCATTGGCTTCCGGTGGACTTCCGGGTGCGCTTCAAGGTGTTGGTGATCACCTTTAAAGCGCTCCATGGCTTAGGGCCAGGGTACTTACGGGACCGTCTTCTGCCACCAATTGCCTCCCACCGGCCAGTTCACTCCCACAAAGAGGGCCTCCTCAGGGTGCCGTCTGCCAGTCAATGTCGGCTGGTGACCCCTAGGGGGAGAGCCTTCTCTGTGGTGGCACCTACCCTCTGGAACGATCTACCCCCAGAGATACGAGTGATCCCAGACCTCCGGACTTTTCGTCGGACCCTTAAAACCTATTTCTTTCAGTTAGCCAGGCTGTCCTGATTTTATGGTAGGTTTTTAAAATTTGAAATTGGTTTTAAATTGAAATATTTTAAATTATGGGCCAAACTTATTTAATTATTTTAAATCTATTTTAACTTTTGTGTACAAATGTTTTACTTTGGCTGTTCACCACCCTGAGTCCGAAAGGAGAAGGGCGGTATAGAAATCTGATAAAATGAATAAAATAAATAAAAAGGATTTATGGAGGGAAACAGCTGGATATGAAGACTCTTCATTTCTTGTGGTAGTCAGTGGCCAGGCGGTTCTCTGATGGCTGCAGTTTGCCAGGCTGCAGAAATTTCAAAGGTAGCAAAAGGGAGAGAGATACAGGATTTTTTTTTTTTTTTTTTGGTCTGCTATGAAGACGGTGCCAAAGAAATACATCAAAGGACGAGGGCAATGGGCAAGAATTCTATCAATGCTATTATATTTATGCCAGTGTTTTATGGTCAGAACTTGAAAGAGTATTACTTTAAAGACTCAGAATGCTTCATATTTGCAGCGAACATGGACTCCTCCTCTTCCTCAGGACAATAGTCGTCATTGACAGGAGATACACAGAAGTTCTTCTAAATAGAGACAAGCAGTAAAATCAGTTGCCAAGAAAAGAATGCAACAAAACTACTGAAAAAGGTCAGAGAAAAAGGAACATAGATTTCTTTGCGCCGGTATAATTGGCTCTGCAGTCAAGATTGGAGACAGACAACCAAATTGGTTGACACACCTGGACAAAATGTGAAAATGTATTTTTTTCCCTCCCAGCATATTCCAGATGCGAAACTGTTTATTTGC